CCAAGCCTTTGAATTAGCATTGAGCGAAACAATGCTAACTAATGCTAACGCTTTTTTACACACAACACACGGTAGAAATGCCCTTATTACTATCTTAACTGCACAAACAAGATATACGATTTAAAGCTGAGACTCCACAGGTGTAATGTCATCACTGTAAGACCTCGAATTCCTGGAGCTATCAGCCAGAAAAGAGAAAGTAAACAACATCCGGTTCCAAAAATATTACAATAATTACGTCTTACCTTTTTTGATTTGTGATCAAAAGTTGTGTTCAACGGAATAAAAACGCATCTCAAGGTTAATCCAATGTCGTTGTGTTACGTAGAATTTTTTACTGATAATCAATCATCATATTCTCGAAACAATCGTCAGTAAAATGACGGGAGCACACGACTGCCGAATTACTCGTCAGCTTCGGCTCCGTGAAGTTTGCCCGTGTTATCTGAACAAATTTCACCCACTGACGACGAATGGCTGGGTTTCTTGGAAACGCATGCGTCGATACGCCATTCTCTGCATTTGCTGTCGCACTACAGCCATACAAAACACATCTATTCACCATAATAAAGGTCGGCTATTCACATGCAAATGCTATTGAATGTCCGCCATTGTTTGTGCCCGTCTTCCTATGCTCTCGTCATCACCCGAAGATTCCCGACGATTCCCGAAGTATTTCGTTTCATTGAGAGGGCGCAGTAAAATTGAAAATAAAATGAAACTAGGCGCATGAAATTAAAAAAAATTGTTTATTATGCTTATTTTTAATAAAAATACATAAGTTAAACCCAAAATTCGCGGATTTCCACTATCCCTTTAATTTCCCCGTTAACTGCCGAATCGGATGCTCTGAATCGGAAGCCAACTTCAGCGTCGTCATTTACCCCCGGTACAAAAAACTGTGAGGGCGCCTTCGTCATGTGTTTCTTAAATTCATCAAGTTTTCTCTCAAAAACTCCCAAAGGTTTCCCAATGTAATCCTTGTGTTTACTTTCAAAATGTCGCTTGAGCTTGGCAGGTTTCATAGCCTCGTTCGCCAACGACTCGTAGCACAAAACACATTGTGGATTGGGATCCTCTTCATCTCCAGTCCAAAAAAAGCCAAATTTGATGTAGTCGCTGTGATATTTTCTCTTCACTTTAGCGCTGGACTTTCTGCATTCAAGCCGAGTTTCACAGCTTTCAGCCGGGTGGTTGTTAGACAGTGAACCACTCTCCTGGGACACAGTAACGCACACAAAAGCTTGCTGCTGAATCACCTGCATCAGGACGATGCACCTTGATTGTCGCATCCGATTTTTCATTTAATTTTCTTTTAACTGACCCTGTCTTTAGCCATCGATCCATCTTGTCAGTTGACTGTTCTTTTGTTTATTTTTTTTAGTTGACCGCTCAAATTGACCGCGCAGATCATTTATGACATAAGACGTAAAACAAACGTACGTACGTACCTACGCTACATCTATGATACACTCTATACTAGTAATTGTTTAACAGTTTGAGAAACACTTTAAACTTATAATACATATGAATTTCAAATGTGGCATTTTACTAATATACTCGCGGACCACTTGGGGTCGCTCGCGGACCACCAGTGGTCCGCGGACCACTCTTTAAGAAAGACTGTCTTAGAGGAAGTACAGAAACACGTAACTCTGGATTGGTTTAATGTTTGAGGTGCAATAAACGACACAGCAGCTTTTTGGCATGTTAAAACTATTATTTTCTGCCTCGCTCATGAGAGTAACAGCTGGCAAAATTACAGCCTCGCCTACTGATTTTAATTTAACCATATATCGAGCCCGATTCTTGATTTCAAATGTGTGTTCTAAAATGATATTTACAAATGACTATTATCATTATTATAAGCAAGACAATAAATGGCAAAGATATGTAGAAAATAAACGTATTTAAGATACGTTTATAACAAACGTAACGTGGGAGTATCATTATGCACGCAATACTCGGCATCACAACTCAATGGGAAGTGTATCATATGCACGCAAAATCGGACTTCTGCGTATCTATTGCACGCATTTCCAATGTGTAAAGTCGTGTCATTTGTACGCAGACTGAAGAGAGTGGGTTGTACTAAACATATATAACGGTACGTCCACACGGCAGCGTCGCATGCTTCAATCAATCAATCAATCAATGTTTATTTATATGTTACATTTGTCTCAGTGGACTTCACAGTTTGTACAGAATATCAGTATGACAATATGACACCCTCTGTCCTTAGACCCTCACATCGTACAAGGAAAAACTTCCGAAGAAAACCCACAGTTTTAAAGGGAAAAATGGGAGAAACCTCAGGGAGAGCATCAGAGGAGGGATCCCTCTCCCAGGACGGACAGACGTGCAATAGATGCCGTGTGTAAATTGAAAAGATAATACATTTGCAACATAGGTAGTCCAAATGTTAGGAAATGCATGTGTGTATAATAGGAAGATGAATCCACGAGGATATCCATCCAGGACCTATGATCCAGGACCACAGCCACGATTCAAGATCCAGGGCTCGCAATGCAGGACACAGGACCGCAGGATCATCCATGACTCCGGATCCCGGCGTATATAGACACCAAAAAGAAAGAAATTTGGGGAAGCTGGGTTAATCGGAACATGAGAGTACACAGTTATGGCGCGTTTCCACTGCAGCGGGGTAACCCGTTTAAGCGTCCCTAAGCGTCCTCGGGCTGCCTCGCTGGCCGGCCCAGGCCGTGGCGCATTTCCATTACAGTTTAGGACCTGGGGTAGCAACGCAGTGTAGGCGGGGCGATCGGCTTTGTTTTTGTTCACATTTCGAGTTGTTCCGTCGAGCTCCCGCTGGATTTGATCATCCCCAATGAGATGTAGGAACGTCGTCACCTCCTCGGTCGACCACGGTGTGCTTTTCTTATTAGACGTAGCCATTTTTGTAGCTCATCCGTTTACAAAATGCTGTTTATAAAAATGCTGCAAACTTGCTTCTAGATATATATGCGACGCTAGGGATGAACTCGCGCGCAATCTTGTGACGATTCTCTCTGACCAATCAGCAGTCGAGAGTGTTGACGTCACTAGTTCAGCCCTGGCCCTGGTCTGAGGGAACCACGATTTTATGAGGCCGGAAAAAGTACCCGCTGGCCGGTACTAGGCTATATGGAAACGCCACCAAAAACCGGCCTGGCCGCTTGAGGACGGTTAAGGACGCTTAAACGGGGCTACCCGCTGCAGTGGAAACGCGCCTTTATAGACAGAGAGAAGGAAGAAGTAAGATGTCCCCCGACAAACTAAGCCTATATCAGCAAAACTAGGGGCTGAATCGAATCAGCCCTAACTATAAGCTTTATCAAAAACGAAGGTCTTAAGCGCACTCTTAAAAACGGATAGGGTGTCTGCCGCCCGAACACAAACTGGAAGCTGATTCCACAAATGTGGAGCTTGATAAGAAAAGGCTCTGGCTCCCATTGTACTTTTAGAGACTCTAGGAACAACCAACAACCCTGCATTCTTGGAACGCAATGCCCTAGTAGGACAGTAGGGTATAATGAGTTCTTTAAGGTAAGATGGCGCCTGCCCATTAAGGGCTTTGTAGGCGAGAAGAATAATTTTAAATTATATCATGTGTTCTATAGGGAGCCAGTGTAAGGCAGCCAGAACAGGAGTAATGTGGTCCCTTTTCCTAAATCTGGTTAGTACACGAGCTGCAGCATTTTCAATCAGCTGAAGCGACTTGACTGACTTCTTGGTACACCCTGATAATAAAGAGTTACAATAATCCAGCCTTGAAGTAACAAATGTATGGACTAGTTTCTCTGCATCGTTTTGAGGCAAGATATGCCTGATCTTTGCAATGTTACGTAGATGGAAGTAGGCGGTCCTTGAAATTGATTTTATGTGGGCGTTAAAGGATAAATCCTGATCAAATATAACACCAAGATTCCTTACAGTCTCACTGGAGGCCAAATTAATGCCATCCATAGTTAGTATATCCTTAGATAATTTGTTTCGTAGATTCTTCGGGCCAAGTACAATAACTTCAGTTTTGGTCGTGTTTAACATCAAAAAGTTGAAGGTCATCCACGTTTTTAAGTCCTTGAGGCAGTCTTGAATTTTATTTAGATGATTAATTTCATCAGGCCTGATTGATAAATATAGTTGAGTATCATCCGCATAACAATGAAAGTTTACAGAATGATTCCTTATAATATTGCCTAACCGGAGCATATATAATGTGAACAAAATATGTCAGAGCACTGAGCCCTTCAACGGAGACTCTTCCCATTCACTTTGAATGGGGTGATGTCACGCTTTGCCGAACTGCATTGTAGTTCCGTCGCGTCGCTTTGCCTCTGTTGCTCGCGCTGAAAGTTGAGAAAAGTTCAACTTTCAAGCGTCAACGGAAGCGCCAGCCAATCAAATCATGTGCCAGTACAAGCTCTAGCCAATCAAACCGCGTGCTTGTGTGTCCGGGGCGGGAGATGAATGTGATTGGTCGCACGCCAGACACGCCCACCGGCAAGCTTCAACGCAACGCTGCCGTGTAGTCTAGGACCTGGGTTAGATATGTATGCACTTAATTTAGGAGAGAATATCTCAATTGTTCTAGACTAATATGACCCCACTGAACAACTTGGGATGTGTGCCAAAATCTCTATCCGGGACAAAAAGCCCCAAAATTACCATGCCCTTTTTTAAATGACCACGCCCCTTTTCATCGGAAGTGCTACTTCCGATATAGCTGTATCTTCTAAACCGTTTGAGCTACAGATTTTCTGAGGTGCTCAAAATGTTCAGAATGGCCATATCTAGGGGGAGGGGGGTATTATAAATGTCTAATTTGATATTTTACGAGAACATTCGGTCCACTTATTACCATACAACTACCCAAGTACTGGAAATTGAGTTATCCTCTCATGAATTATGTGCATACATGCCTATCTTAACTTAGGTCTTCTACTAATTAATATAACCATTGAATTATATAAAACTAACTGCTTTTTGTTTATTCATAGCACCAGTGCTAAAAGCTGGAGAGAGTATGAGAGAAAGACTTATCCATCCAGTTTAACAGAGATAATATCTCACTGAAGTACAGCGAAATGGTAAGACAAGCTTTAATTTATTTATTTACCTACCTCTTCTTTCTGTGGGTATGCCAAGTAGTATATTGTATGGTGATACTGATAACCCATGCCATCGATAATTTTAAACATGTTTCTTTTATTTTCAGGATGTGGTACCGCTCGCTGCTCCTTCTGCTACACCTAAGCCGATCAAGCCGATCGATCTCGAGGAGTGCATCCTATGCGAGAGAGAGAGTACCTCTCTAGTGGTGAAATCGGCAGGGGTTATATTGTTTCGCTTGCCAAACAAACAGAGAGTAATGACACTCGAGCTGCTAGGGTTCTTCGACTGACCGTGCAAGAGCAGGGTATCATGAAATACCACACCTCATCTTGCTACAGTAGTTTTCAAAGGGATATGGCTAAGACTGACAGCATAACCCAACCACTAGAACAATCAGAACCATCTCAGCAGGGGCCTATTAATGATACATCTGAGCGACACAGCAAGCGATTTAAGTCCAGTGTAACTACAAATGTCTGTATCTTTTGTGGTTCGGATTGCAAGACATTTAAACAGAAGAAAATACACACATTGTTCAGAATCTGTGAAAGGCCCATGGCCCAAAAACTACTAAATGCGGCCATGTTGTTCAAGGACCATGTGTACACTGAAACAGCGGCAATGTGTAAGCTAGATGATGTTTTTGCGGCTGATATCCGATATCACGACCAATGTTGTAAAGTCTATTTCAATAAATATCATGCTAAAATTGAGGAAATACTGAAAAACCTCAAAATGGAGGAGTCGGTAACAGCCGGAGACAACTCCTTCAAGGCTAGATTTTTAGCCCTTGGGATTGACTTTAGTAGGTCAGCACACAGTCTGACTTCCATCTGAGACAGGCTAAATGAAGGTTCAGCTGGAATAGTGTCAAACAGAACTGTAAAGCAGCTGATCATCGAGATGTATGGAGACGCCGTCTGTTTTACATACCCAAGTAACAAACGAATATCCCAGATGGTACTTTGTACCAACAGTTCTATAGAGGCCTTGGTAGAGTCCCTGCGAGTTTCACCTGTCCAACAGGTTGCAACTGAGCTGGCACAGGAGCTGACAGGATATAGGTTTGGACTGCAGATGTGCCTCTGTGAGCCCCAAGACCTCAAACTGTCCATGGACATATTAATTAAGAACCCACCACCAAGATGGGAGGAGTTTTGCTCCTATATGTTCAAGGGGAAAACAACCTCTAAGCTGAAGACTGATGTAGTCTTTCAAATTCTGCACTACATCATGACTGATGGCAAGGAACCAACACCTTTCCATGTCATGGCGGCTCAAGGAGTGCACAGTCTGACACGATCAAAAGAGCTAGTGACCGCTCTTAACCATCATGGAATATGTGTCAGCTACAACACAGTCAAGAGGATTGATGTGGACCTCGCTGAACGGATCATCACTACAGCAGGTGGCAATAGAGTACCTCTTCCCACTGTCCTTGAAGCAACAAGCCCACTAAATGGGGCATTGGACAACTTTGACCGCAATGAAAGCACCCTGGCAGGAACAGGCTCCACACACGATACCATCCTTGTTCTCTTCCAAAATGTTCCAATTCATCTGGCGAAACCATCAGAGGAGAGTGAGATCTCTGCAAGGCCCCTTGCCGCTCAGAGCCGGACCACAATAAAGCTTAGGTATACAGTCAGCTGCCAACAGCTCATCAGGATGGGGGCAGTGAAGGAACGCGGGGTGATACCCACCAACTACAAGGTATCAGAGATTCTCTCCAATTCTACTACATTGGGCCCGATAGCCCCAGCAACAGTTGTTGATCCAACAACAGTCTCTACTACAGCAGCAGAACCCTCTACCTCAGCAACAGAGTCAACCACTGTAGTATCTGATGTGATACACACTTCCACGGCAACAGACCCATCAACCTTGACAACAGGCCCCATCGCCATGGCAGCAGAACCAACTTCCAACACAACAAGCTCCACTACTGCAGCAGCAGAAGTCTTGGATATGTCAACAGACCCCTCTCCCACAACAACTGATAGCTCCACCACAGCAACAGACTTCACTGGGTCCACCAAGTCAATAGATTCGGACTATTTTCTGTGGATAGTCAATCGCTTCTCCAAAAGAGCGACACATGAGAGTGACTATGTCCCAGGATTTACAGCTCTGAGAAGTGCAACTGTGAATAGCACCTTTCATCCTACCACCACAATTCTTACCCCCATCCTTCCCTATCCAGCTACAACATACGATGCAATCTTCACCACGATGATTAACTTTCAGGATGCTCTGAAACAGAAGGGTGATACCTGTAAAGGAATATTTTAGTCTTGTTAAAGTATATAGAGTTTAGTGACTTGTCCTCGGGAATCTGTTTCTGGTTAAAGTGTATTCCTGCCTGTAATGTGATCCAAAGCTTCTCAGGAGGACACAGGTCAAGAGGTCATCTGATATCTTGTGGGGGGAGAAGCTTGGCTCATGTGGGTTTGCAATGCAACGAGTCTTTGTCTCGACATCTGGCATGCATTAAAGGAAAACCCGCGTGTTTTAGGGCCCTCCTCTTCTAAGGTATAGATGTGTTCTTGGCGCTTTTGTCTTCAGAGTTGGCTGGTATCTTACATGAGAACTGTAGTATACTGTGATCTCTCCGGCCGTACGAATTCTCAATAAATATCAGTGTATTGACAGGCGAATCCAGTTTCCCTCATTTGATGATTGGCTCAACATTGCTGCAAAGAAGTTTTTACTTCACAATACCTACGGTGGGTTGTGGGCCGACGAAGGTGTGTACCGTATTGCCAAGGAAATTCAGCTCATGAAACCAGACCAGTTTAGCAACATATTCCTTGGTCTAGGTGGGTTTCATATGGAGAAGATTGTGTTGGCCTGTCTTGGTACATATCTGGAACCCTCTGGAATGTTTGCTGTTCTAGTTGAGACCGAGTGCTATGGTACTGATGTCATCAAGACTGTGATCTCCGGTTCCCACTATTCCAGGGCCCGCACTGCCCATTCAATGATACACAAGGTCCTCACATCTATGATGTTGGAAGCATTCCTCTCCAAATACCCTGAGAGACTAACGGAGCTAGAGGCACTGCAGGTCAACTGCCAGTCCAAAGACCTCACGGCCGAAGAATGGAACACGACAAAGGAGCGTGCTGACACCATCCAAGCAGCCTTTCAAGTCTACCTGAAGGAAAGGGCATCGCTGTCCCAGTCCTTTGATTACTGGAACACATACGTTTCTGACCTGTACCCAATAGTTAGGGATCTGACCAATTCTCTGCGCTCTGGAGATTGGATTCTCTACCTCAGTGCTATGGAGAGGGCAACTTCACTGTTCTTCTTTTTTGGGAGAACAAACTACTGTCGGTGGACACCATTATTCCTGCAGGACTGCTATCAACTGAAGGATAAGTTCCCACTACTGTACGACTCCTACATGCATGGTGGATTTGTCGTGAACACCACCAAGAAAGGTAGTGGAGTGCCGTTTGACCAGGCGCTAGAGCAGTGCTACAACCGGCCTGCCAAAGTGAGTGGGGGGATAATTGGTATCACCAGGAAGAAGGAAGCAGTAGCTCTGTGGGGTATCATCAAGCATAAGAAAGACCAGTACGTTGACCTCCTGAAGATGAAGGATGATGTAGAAGGAGAACTCTCACTTCACCACGACTTCAATCCGAGTACTGCAACTAAGATAGTTGGGATGGTGCAAGACATAGCAGAGTATCTCCTGAAGGTATGCAGTCCTCTACAAGACCAGGTAGCGCTGAAGAATATTTTCACTGGAGGAATTGTGACCAACGTAGACATAGACAAGTTGTTGTGCTGTATGAAGGAGGGCAGCGCTGCTTGTGCTAAATGTATCGATGAGCGACTCAGAAATAGGTCGATATCGATATACTCAACTATTAGCAAAATCAAGTTTACGTCCCCTAAGACCACCTTGAATTTGGCTCCCAAAGTAGACATCAAAGATGAGACAATCAAAGCTCTCATGTTTATTGAGTATGGGTGTCACCGGGGTTTCACTGTTGAGGAGCTACTCCAGCATGAGATCACCAACTCTGCGTTCTTCTTGGTTGACAAAGATGGTTACTTGAGGAAGAGTGCCAAATCACAACTTGGGACTGAGCTGCTGAAGTTGTGCCCACTAATAGATAAAAAAAGGTCCAGAAACATCCCCACAAACCCACGCCATCATTATCGACTTCATGGCCTTGGTGAGAAAGGTCCCCTTAAAGAAGCTTGATCCGCCCGTCAAAACATTCCATGACTTTGCTATTGCATTGACATCTATGGTCACCAAAGCTGGGCACAACTGTGATGAGATCCACATCGTTTTCGACACTTACAGAGAGGATAGCATCAAGAATGGAGAGAGGGAGAGAAGATGGAAGTCAAAGGAAATGGTTGTCCTTGATGTGATATCACCGAACCAAAATGTCCCAGTGGTGTTATAGAACTTCTGGTCGTCTTCCATCAGCAAAACCGCTTTCCAGGCATTCTATGTTGAGTGGCTCACCACCAATTACCAAGGTACCAAACATTCTATACCTTGGTATATCACCACAGGCATGGACGGTGTCAGCTGGGTGTGCTTCTCCATTCCCTCGGCTCAACTGCACACACGAGGAAGCTGACGACAGGATGATGTTCCATGTGCAGGACATTCTATGCCACCGGTCAGGACCTACATCCATTACGCTGTCATCAGGTGACACAGATGTATTTGTGTGCCTGTTATACCACATCACAGTCAATTGGAGAGATCTTGGTCTCAAAGAGCTCTGGCTCGTCCGCAACTCAGGAGTGAGAAGATCAATATTACCACTCCACGATATCTGCTTAGCGCTGGGAGACGAGCTCACAAAGTGTCTCCCAGCACTCCATGCGCTGACTGGGTGCGATACAACCAGCAAGATATCAACTAAACTTGCAGCCCTGAATGCTGTCAGAATATTCCTCTCTGATCCTGAATTTCGACAGTCCACAGCTAACAGAAAATGCAATACAGCTGGCAGAGACATTCTTGGTCAAGTGTCTCAAACCATCAACAGACCTGAAGACATTTGACGACCTGCGACTCGCTGCATTTGATAGCAATGCCCTCAAGATGGACTTCGAGAGAACCACTTGCACATCAACTAATGCAAGAAAACATATCCATAGAGGGTATCACCAACAGCAGCTGTGGGTCCAAGCCCCATTTAGAGACGCCACCTCGATTATGAATGCCGAGAATTATGGTTTTGTAGTTCATTAGTCCCTGAGTTTGTGATCTCAAAACCCGAAGGCCTGCCAGATCCCTGCACATGTGGCAAGTGTGCTCACAAGAATGGGTGTCCCTGCAGGGTAGCTGGGATCAAGTGTTGCAAGTACTGCAAATGCAAGGGAGGTGATTGTTGTAAAAACCCTATCACTGAATGAGCACTGCTCATCATCCTCATACGGGGACCTGGACTCTGTTGTCTTACTCTTCATGTTCCTCACCCTGGTTTACGTGACACATAAACAGTACTAATGTGGTGTTAAATAAGTATTGTTGGCTGTTGGGTAATTTATTTAAGCTCTCTACATGACACAAATGTTCTAACTTTGCTCTAAGTCCAGAAAGTTTAAATTAATAAATATAATGGCCATTCCAGTGTGTATAGGTAGTTGTATGTAAGTTGACCTATTAACGGTTTTTAGCCATTTCTAGTAAAATATGAACATTTTGAGGACCTCAAAAGCAGTCTTGTTAGTTTATAATTAAATGGTTATATTAATTAGTAGAAGACCTAAGTTAAGATAGGCATGTATGCACATAATTCATGAGAGGATAACTCAATTTCCTGTACTTGGGTAGTTGTATGGTAATAAGTGGACCGAATGTTCTCGTAAAATATCAAATTAGAAATTTCTAATACCCCCCTCCCCCTAGATATGGCCATTCTGAACATTTTGAGCACCTCAGAAAATCTGTAGCTCAAACTGTTTAGAAGATACAGCTATATCGGAAGTAGCACTTCAGATGAAAAGGGGCGTGGTCATTTAAAAAAGGGCGTGGTAATTTGGGGGCTTTTTGTCCCGGATAGAGATTTTGGCACACATCCCAAGTTGTTCAGTGGGGTCATATTAGTCTACAACAGTTGAGATATTCTCTCCTAAATTAAGTGCATACATATCTAACCCAGGTCCTCTACTAGTGTGGACGTACCGTAAATATGATAACTAATGTCACTCACAACCTGTAATGTTTAATTATACTGCTACACGCAATACTCTTATTTTGGTAACCCCTTATCCGGAAACCGGAAGTAGCGAGCTAAGAGGCTCCGGCTTGACGAGGTTATTGAAGGATGACTGTAGCCTACACTAGAGCTGACCGGAGAATAAAGACACGGCAACTAAAGCTTCACTTGTAACGTGTTTATATGGATTTATTCAACAGACTGCAAGTCACAACACAACCTGGCCGAGAGGGCTTTAACTGAAGACAAATTGAGAGCATCATTGCGAAAGGGATGCAGCAAAAATAATCGTTTTGTTTCGATTACGCTGTTTTCATAATCGTTGCAAGCCAAAATCGTAATCGAAATTAAAATACGATTAATTGCACAGCCCTAATTATAACTGAACCCCACAGTAATACAAATTAGGATGCACATGATAAGAATCATAATGAGGTTAAAGGTAAACACTTCTTTATTTGAAGACAATATTGAATACATCTGGTGCACTTTATCATAAAGAGATGATACTATAAAACAGTTATCAGCTTGTTTAGCAAGGAATAAATGCAAGCAGATGTTTAAATACCAGAACGCATTTACAGTTGTAATCATGTTTACATCTGCAGGGCAACATAAAATAAGTTTGCAACATTTAACCTAAGACCTGTATTTTATTCTCTATATCAGCACAACAAATATGAAGGATTTGTAGGCTTGCCAAGCAGGACCCAACATTTTGGATTTCACCTCTTTATGCTGATTTTCCTTCACTTCAAGGAATTATTTTAGATGATAGGCCACTTTGATAACGTTTTAAGCAGAGAAAACTCCTATTGTGAAGCTGGTGAAATCATCAAAGTTTATCAGTGTAAGTGCTTCTTTCTGCTGTGCGTTGACCCTGAGTTACAGGCCCTGCAAAGATCTGACACAACTTTTGTTTAGGCTTCTGCTGTTCCTTTCAGCTAACACAGAGAGATGCCCTGATGTGTGTTCTGTCAGACTGTCTGCTGTTTACCTTCTGTGCGGCGTTCGCATGTGAAAGACCAAACAGCAATCTACAAAAGCACACTGTGGCAAACTGTCAAGGTTGAAACTTGTACTGCTATCTTCCGCTCTGTATCAAAAAGCTTCGCCTTGCTCTCTGATGTGCCGGCACCTGGGTGCTGCTGGGTGCGATGCCCCCAGCTTTTCTTTGCATTCATCTCCCGTCAGTCCAGCTGACATCAGTTACGAGTCTGCATAAATGAATGCTCTCCAGTCGGCATGAAATGGTTTTGTCACTCAAGAAGAACACTCAGCACTCCAAACATAGGACTACAAAACACATGCCGAGTGTCGGTGTTTTGAAGACAGGCATAGATGGGGACAAGAAAGTCCAAAAGTCTTTTTTTCTTCTTGCCCTTTTCTTATACTCTCACTTATAGCATACAGGCTCATACATGCGTTTATACATTTCCACTCTAAAGAAAACCAAGCCAAATTGTTGATGACCCCCTGATGACATCACCAGGGTTAATTTATCTCACTTTTGAAAATTCTCCTTCAGAGCGTCAAAGAACTGCCTTCCCATGCTGAGCAGTATTCCCCATGAAGAATATACATATTTGTATTTGTACTTTTGTTAGTGACCTTTTAAAAAATGCATATTCATCAAGAATGATATTAAATTACTATTTGCCATATTCAACTGCAGCCATGCAATATTAACGCTGTATGTTTCAATCCAAACAAACATTACAGGGGCTACATAAGCAGAAATATGTGTTATGTGTATTTTATGCATTCATCAATGTCTTCAAATTATAAATGTCTATGAGCTTGATTAAAAACCTACATCTATACTGTAATAGCCTGTTGACTGATGACTCATGTGAGCGTGTACAATTGTATACGCAAATAAATGTGTTGGCTCTTCAAAATGTAAACTACTTTTTACTTGGATTTAAATCTTATCGACAAAGATGTCAAATCTGTTAAAATACTTTTAAGACCTGTACTTTACTGAAAATACTAAAGACCATAAGAAAGTGTTTTAAAGTCCTCTATGGTTTTTGTCTCTCTGCCCTATTTCTTCTTAACATTCTGTCTAACTGAGTCATACATCTGTAGCCTACTGTGTACAATTTGTGCACAGCAGAGGAGGACATGCAAACATTTATTTTGTTGGTTTTTACTGACGAGTTTAAGTACTCAGGCTGTAGGCCTATGTCATAACAGTGAGCTTCCAGAAGCAAAAATCCCTTTTACATTTTCTAATTGAAGATTTGGAGTACACGCATTATGTCGTAACATCTAACGTACACTTACGATGATGGCGTACATTATGCTCCTGAACAACCCATACAGTATTTACTGTATGTATAGGTCAGGGGTCGGCAACCTTTTTGATATGAAGAAAACAAATTGTGATCAGTGTGTGCCGACGATCGTGAATTTTCTTAGGGGGGGAGAGCTCGACGTTCGTGAACTGTCAACAGGAGGAGCCTCGCTGCGGGGAAGCAGTGTGTGGACCTCTTTCACCTGTCAGCACAACTTAAGGTCCTTACAGCACTTCTCGCTGTAGAGTGAAAATGGAACGCACACGCTATTTGTTGCTTGTTTATATCCATAGACTGTATAAATGTATATCACAGTCTGTTCTTCTTCTCTCGGTGTATCACACAGTCTGTCTTCCGGTTTTTGCCTCTTTTGAATGATGAATACACACTACCGCCGTCTGCTGGTAAAGAGAGTTATTGCCACTCACGCATGCGCAGTTCATACGTGCAACTTGGCCGTCGGCTGAAGTCTTTGTGGTGTGTTCCAGTGCGAAACATGACCAAGAAGCAGGAGACATGAGGCGACTTGAGCCGACATTCCATCGGGACGTGTTCTTTGGTGTCAGTTTGGTGTGTAAGAGGCTGTACATGATGCCGTTTAAACTAATTTAAATAATTGGTTTAAACGGCATAATAATAAGGACGACCGTCCAATCTGTGATTCTCCAGTCCGCCCCTTTGTAGCATATTATTTCGATGAGAGGTGTGGGAATTGATGTAAAGTATTATGCAGAAAATTTGATACAGCATAGTTTTGGTATATTCTTTTAATGTCACCCATATATAAGAGGTGTGTTGCATCATGTTATCACTAATATATGTGTGGTTTTATACATTCCTGTGTGTTAATAGTTGAAGGAACAAAGTACATTTTTCCTCTTAAATATAGAGAGGTTTTTTATACATTCCTGAAACAATGTTCCCTTTTCCTTAAAAGTAGATTAGCGCAATAGTCTTTTTCTTCCACTTTTACATATAATCAAAAGGGTGGTTTTTTGGCTATCTGTGAGGAGGTAAAATGCAGAATTACTTGTGATTTCTGTTTTGAGTGAAAAGATTACCCGTTAAGTGTTTTTAAGAAAGTCTTGTTGCAGTCAGAGGCCATGAGTTTCTTAGGTAATCATCAATGGTCTTTGCAAAATAACAAGGGACATTTCCCCCAGATATAATGGTTACATTCTTCTTAAGTTAATAATGCACATCCTGCAGGCCTTGAGAATTGAGTCACACAGTTAAGAGAGACAATAGTCAGTCTGAATTGTCAATGAATGCATTCATTCCAGTAAACGCGGACTTCGGGGTGAAAGGAAGTTCACAGAAGCCCTTAAGCTAAAAGAACAATCAACTTCTGTTAATGATAAAGATGTGTGTGTGTTAAAGATATGCAGGACAAGGCTATTTGAGCAGCTATGTGAATACTGCTCAAACAATACCTGGGTTTGTGTTCTATTGACTTCTCTGCTTTATTCTTTCATAAATGTGAGGACTACATTGCTATAAACATTGTGGAGTAGTTGGCTTAAACATGTTTAATTACTCTGTATGAAATAGAAGCTGCTTTTTCATGACAGAAGACTAGAGAGGTAGGGGAAGAAACATTTTTCTTAAAATCTCCACCATGTCAGGGAAGTCTATATCTTGAATAGTAGATGTGTGTGTTTAATTACTTTGTATTAATAATAAGCAGTCTGTGTAACCAGGAGCTGGAAATATGAGAAATTAAACCTTTGTATATATCTTTGTCGCCAAGGGAATATTCTTTAGACACAACTGAAGTTTCTGGAATGCTGCAGGAGGGGCTCTGTGGGAGGATAATTTCCCCCGACTCCTCCCCGTGGTACCTCTATACCTCCTGTTTGTGTTCGTGTGTTCGCTCTCTCTTCTCTGGCTGTCAGGACCGAAGGATCTAAGCAGCACGCGAACCAGGGCAGGAGTACTCCTTATATTATATTATATTGTATTGTATTGTATTGCATTGGATTATTACCTTTTATAATTAAAACAGATTATTGTTTAACTGGTATCCTGGTGTCTTCTGATTTCCTTCCTGTTATGATTTTAAGCAGCTCGCCAAACGACACGCGGCGCCGAGGTGGGTTGTAAAAACCTCTCAGCTACAACAGAGGTGAGCAGATCGCCACTGGGCTTTCAAAGACACAGCCACGCAAAAACTGCGGCATTTGTACAGCTCCTTATGGGTACTGCAATTTGATAAGTGCCGGCACGGCAGCAGTGCTTTCCTCCGTGGTGAAACGATCAGCACTGCACCACGGAGGAAAGCGGCAGAAAGTCATTAAAGAGAGCGGGGCTGCGTTGCGTACATGGCTTCCTTCTGCAGGTAACGGGGAGACGCGCTCTGGCGGCGGTCTCGTTCAGGATCCAAAAATAACATTTAAATATTTTGCACACCTATTCCACTTATTCCTAGTGTGCCACTGGTTACAGTGCCACGTGCCAATGATGGCACGCATGCCAGGGGTTGCCGACCCCTGGTATAGGTCATATATTATCAACCTTTTGAACATGTTTTATTAGGGATGTCATGATGAACCACTACCCACAATCCTAAAGTGTAACAGTGATTTTTGCTCCCGGATTTTAAACGGAAACCAACAAAGCCACTCATTTGGTAACATTCTCTTGTATTACAATAATAGATCACCAAAATGTGTTTCCCGAACCTTTTTATACGGGAAAGAAGAAGCTGCATCACAACAGGCACATTATATTTTGTGTTGACAGAAAGCCAACACGAGGAGAAAATACTATAATTGTATAGTTTATTCTTATAAATGCAGTCTGCAAAAATATTTTTAGGGAGGGCATTATCTTGCACCTTGTCCATTTGAGACCCCAAATATTTATTCATCACAAACCCAAGTCAAGATGGTTCAGCTGATTGTCTGAAGTTATGTCATGTCCAACCAGAAGCTCCAAGTGAACTTGAATCAGCTGTGTGTATTTCTCTTGCTCACCTTGTGTTATCATCCAGAAGGCTGTCATTGGTCTGATAAGAGCAACGGATTGCTTCTGGTCACCAGGTAATGGCCTCTGTTTTCTTGCTTGATATTTATTTTCACCATTGGGTGATGATGTTTTCCTTGCAAAGGTCTCTTCACAAATCAGAAGAAAAATTAGAGTGCATAGAAGAGTAAATTGCATTTTCCCTTCAAAATGCTTTCAAGCTTGGAAGATGAATTGGTAGATTATCTGCATGTTAGTGGAATTAGGAAGAGATGTGTTCCTTTACAAGCCAGTGACAGATAAGGGATGCCATGTGGACAAACGTGCCTGCAAAGGTTGCTGAAAGCTGGAGGAAATGGCTCCTATGTATCTACATCAGTTATTAGTCTAGCTGCCCACCTAATTAAGGAGCGAGCACGGTAATCAATCACGGGCCAAATTGGATTTGGATTGGATTTCTGTGGTCTCTGCAGTGAGCTGCAGATTGTCCAAAACTGGAGGTTTGACTTTGACTATGACATTCCAAGCCAGCTCAGGCAGAAATTAGTCACACACTGCTGAACAATGGTGAGATAAGTAGCAGTGTAATGACACACAGGGGGCAGGTTTTCCAGCTGAAGTAATGCCAAAAATACCCTTAGATTGAGGGTGCATATTTCTGGTGATGAAACTGTGCATTTACTTGATTCTTTCATCAATACATGTTGGCAACAGAACAGGAAAGGAAGGCAGAACACAAGTGTTAAAAGGCACTTAATGAGGCACCATCACATTTAAAAGCTGCAGCACATATACAACATAAATAATGGAGTACTTACTGTATATATTGCCGCTGAATGGAATAACTCTCTGTTAATGACCCTTCAGTGATTTCCCAAACACACACACAGCCAAGCAGAGAAAAACAGCAGGACTGTTTCAAACCTTTCGAAAGGCGAACTGTATTGATTTTGTGTCTCTTCCCTAATAAGAGTCAGAAACATTTTAATGATGGCAAAGGCAGTTAGGATGCTTTATGAATTGAAAGACTGCCACCAATGTTAAATACAATCAACAAAGTCAAAAATAACTACCAACTTCATGAGTTCCAATTATCCAGGTTTCTTCGAGCAAATGTCAGCTTAAAACGGACTACAACTTTAGCTTCCATCAAAATGGCCAGAATGCTTACTAACCTGCACAATGTCCTGGCATTACGCCTTCCTCCATCTGTTTCAGTGGTAAAAGTCCTGCTTGATTAATATAACTCCAATTGTTTGGTCTACAAATATGTTTTATTAGTGTAAAAGCCCTAAAGTACCATCCATGTCAAACCAAACATGTCCCGTCATGTGAAGTAAAACACTGAACATAGCTATCCAACCTGGCAGTAATAAACTTTTCTTTTTAGATGAACATGTCATCATTTGTCAGTGCCCCTTCGCAAATGTTACTTCCAATTTCCTGGAGGCTCCTCTGGTTTCCTGGCAACATCACAGTTAAGTCAGCGCTTTTGGCCAAGAAAAAGTCCAACATATACATCGCTCTTGGTTTTTGTACGATTTAAAGAAACAACATAAAATATG